TCGCCTTTCTTATTCTGAATGTTCTGAAAGTGTTGTGATATTTTGCATTGTGCGATTTCACTTAAACCTGAGGTATCATACTTATTTTTCACATTCTTCATAGAGGTTGTTACGGGCAACAGTTCTGCAAAACGGAATACTGAAGCGCACTCATGCCGTGCGCCTGTACTGTTCACCGTTGTGTTTACACTAAAATTTTGTTTCTGATCACTGACGTGCAGAACTTCGCTGTGACCATGCCAGAAAGTAAAGTCTAATTGGCAGAACATGCTACTCGTTTTGTTGGCAGTCCTGGGCGCTCGGTGTCTGTGGGTGATATCATCAACGAGGAAGTAAATAATCGTACAGGTGGTGGCACACATTCCTCGAACAGGAAGTGAAGGCGGCTGGAAGTGGCAGTTCTTAAACGAAGAAGCCAAGAGTAACGATGTCCAGTGTGTGAAATTTTGCGTCGTAGCAATACTCATCATGTTCGGAACCCACAGCGATTGGATTTGGGTGTCCGTACTAATTACTTTCATTAAACAAATACGTGGAAAACTGCTACCGATGAATTGGACGGGTTTGCATAAACACTTCCACTGATGAAGTTGGCTGGAAAACGAGGAGCATGATATCAGCGATATGCCTGTATAAATGACAAAACCATACAGTTGTTTCAAAATATTAAAATGTGGTATTCATTATGAAGTTTGTGTTCCTTCGAGGATACGAAGATATCGGAACGTTAGGTGTTTGAGGGAATCTGTTGAATTCTTATTCTTTCAATGTATTCATGAATAGGCTATTTACCAGAACATATGAAGACACATGTTTAAAAAGAAAGAACAGTTTTGACAGAAGTAAACAATATGCAGTATGGGAAGGAAGGGACTCATGCAAAACACAGTTTTTTCAAGAATCTTCTCTTATTTTGTTTAAAAAAAGATTTCTTATTTTGCTGGAAAAAACAAAAGGTGGAGGAAAGGCTGAAATGGATTTGTGCAATTAAGGAAGGAACTTTGTTTTGCTAATTCAAAATCTCATTTTGCTTTCAGTTAACAAACTCTTTATGCATATTGCAAGCACATTTTCTACTTATCTAGATGAAAATAGTCTTTTTTTCTAATTAGGGGAAAAAATCATGATGAGAATGAAGTCGAAATGTTACATCCAATTTTTTCACGGCATGCGTGTTCTTCATGCTCCCGGAGTTGTACCTGTAATTTTTCTGTGCTCTGTTAATACGATTTTCTCCTGTTTTCTAATTAAAATTGTTTTAGTGTTTTTAGATGTAGTGCCATTTTTCACTTTTCATGTATAAAATGCTTATAGTCTGCGGGTTGTTAACTAGCAACTACAGTATTTTATTCAAGCTACTTATCACTTGAATGTTACCGCGTCTTTCATGAACTAGCGTCATGTTATATTATGTTCTGCAAAACTTAGTAATTTGCAGTTTGCGGAATCTTCCGAAATCACCAGTTTGGAGTGTCTCGAAAGTACAGCCGATACACAGAAGCATAAGAAGGTTTCAAATAATTCTCTTTAATTTGCATGTGTTTGGGTTAGGCTGATAAAATATTGCATTACAAAAAAGAACCGAAGTTTAGCATATACTGCTCCTGTATAG